TATATATATGTTGAATCTCATCTTTTCTAACTGCTCATAGATAAACAACTGCAACATTCTGATAGTTTCCGTTAAACATATTCATATTTGTATGTCGTCTTCCGGTATGGCTATCAGCTATACATTGGCTCAGTTTTTATTAGATTTTTAACCAGTACGCCGTCGTGTGGAGTAGTACATGTGCACACGTATAGTGCGATATATAGAGGCTACTATATCCTACTTACTTATACAGTAAAGTTTTACCTTACTTTTCCATGAGCTACATACGAGAACTATATATAAAATATATACCATCTGTTCCCAATTTCTATAAAAAGCAATTGTGTACAGCTATACATACATTTTGCTTTCTCCCGAGCCGTGGCTCGGTCGTAGTAGAGGGTGGGATCGTACAATTCTGTTTGAATATAGACTACTTTAGTATTACAAGCATGCAGATTCTACCTCAAATACCGTTTCTTGTGATCTCATCTCCCACAAAATCACCAAATTCTTATAAATGACAGGCTTGGTATACTGCACATACATATAGGCATCCCCTACGCAAGTTAATTACATCGCATGCATAAATATATGTATATGTATATATATATTATATATATATATATATATATATATATATTTACGCACATGTGTGCTTGACTGTGTACGTATGACTATATTCTTAAATGAGCGTGATTGTGTGTATGTATGCAGGAGTGAGTGCGCGACACGTACCGAGTTCTGTGTACATCACTTTGCTGTGGCGTCCAGTGCAGATATCGCGTAGGATATAGCCACTCACCAGCAGCACACCCGTGACAGCCATTGGCAAGATACCCGTATATGTCAGTCGCATGATCGTATGCCACTGTAGCATCTGGAAGGCTTCTGAGTGCAGATAAAGGCTGTTGTATATGTACACACAGGGGAGGAGCATTAATCAGAGAATGCACATCCGAGCGTATGCAAATAAAACCCGACGTTGAAGTACGCTGTTCCATGGGTTTACAGCACTCGTATACTGTCTGTGCAGCCTGCGATAGAGATAGGAGTGCAAGTAAAAGCTGCGACAAGTAATCTTTATTACACGTGATTCTCATGTTCTAATCGCGCCAGTGTCGTGTCAGTGCACGATCAAATTGTGCGGCTGTGTGATGGTGTGTGCTGTGCTATACCCCCGCACCGAAAGCAGGTGGTACTGGTACTGCTAATTGAGGCAAGTTTTGGTATTTGAAACACACAGTGCACTTTTGTACACTCCCTGCTGCATCCACCTATTCAAACACACCTTAGCTCCATATCACTGTCAGCTGTGTGTTAGTATTCAAAAACCTTGTTCAAGAATACTAATGTAGCAGCACATCATTTCATGCGCTTCTCCTCCGATGTATGTCGCTCTATCTCACAGGCAAACGACGTGAGAAACTGCATATAGTGAAACTATGTCACACCATAAGAGTTGAAGTATATCACACACTGGGTTTCCCCCAAAACTATTCACATCAAAGTGTGTGTTAACTATGCGTGACTTACTTTGTGTGGAAATCTTCGAAATCGCCCACTTTGGCTTGGATGAGATTGTACATGTGCGCATCATCTCCAGCGGGAAGGAAGGGCAGTGTATGCAATGCGACCTGGCGTAAGTGGCATCAGCAAAGCAGTGATTTGTGAAATAAACGAGAGGTTGTAGTGATAGAGCTGAATGATATAAGCAAATAATCCCATGGATGTGTGATGATAACCTAGAATAGCAATATTGTGGACTGGAGGGATAAAGTGATGTCAACTGATAAGATGTACCAGCCACATAGTACATACTGGCAACTCAAGATTACAGCGTTTGCTACAACTTTCTCATTGAAAGGTATGGGGGGAAAGTGACGACGTATAATGTCCATGGTGCTCTTGTTACTATAGTCACCATTCACCCACAATAATACGACACCGACTAATCTCATTGAGAGGAGCTTGAACATGGCTTTGACTCCCAAAACGCCTTCTTTTCTGCATCTTACCCCAACCAATATTTCTGCTATTGCATACAATATTGCTCTTCGATTTGGCATCGAAATTGGCACCGACCTGCCACGGTGCCCACCACAACACTAGTCATTCCTACTATGACGTGTTGTAGACATGGTTCTTTATATTACGAACTGTGCCTGATTGCACATGTACATACCTTCGTTGCTATGGCAATTGCGATGGAGCACATTCCTACCACGAACGACCGCGTAAGACGATACGGAAACTGCAGCGCATCGGCCGAGCCCAACAAACAGTCACAGCCCATCACCGCCACCAGCGCACCTGTTTCAAGCATGAATTTATGTATATATTGAAAACAATACTAGTCTCAAGTATGCAGGTGTGTACTCATATGCCATAAATTGGAAACCGATTTTAGAAAGTTCAAAGAAAGAACAGCGGTTGGTGAGTGTATCTTCTGAGATGGTACAGAAAGTGAGAATTCCTAACTACTATATATTGTGGTATGATTACTCGAAAGCATTCAAATTTAGCTGATAGATCGTGCGCATGTAGTTTACTAGACAGCAAAATGTTTGGCCAATAATATGAGTATGGGTGCTGATTGGAGGATGATCGTGAGGCTGTCTACGATTGCTTTGCACGGACATATATGCGACACATACAGTGCTTCGTCGACAGATGGGAAATAGATATAACATAAGACCATCATCTTGTTGCCCATCAGTTCAGTCACATTGCCAAATTAACGAGACAACACACAGTGACATACGAGCAGTTGTAGTTGATGTAGCTCAAGAGATGAGCCAAGAGTAAGATTAGCCCTTGCAAGCGCGAAAGTACATATACATATTCCAACAGACATGTAGGTACATCAATAAAGCTCATGTATGGACATACATACCGATATATATATATATATTCCAACAGACATGCATGTATATCAATAAAGCTCATACATGGACACACATACCGATACACGTGATGGTGTATGGTGAAGTGATTAGCATCTCGTTGCCAAACATAAACACAACCACACTGCTAACGCTCATCAAGTGACACACGATCAGGTGTTTGAGCAGTTGTGTATTGATGTAGCCCAGGAGATGGGTCAAGAACAGCGCCGCTACTTGCAGGGCCATGATGGACGCAGCCAGTTGCCATGACAACACGAGCGATGTGGTCAATACGTAGAGCAAGACAAAAGGTGCAAACCTGTCCCCGGGAATTTGAGGGATGATCAAAATCGAGCATGTGGGGATGGACAAAGTTAAGTGTGAAGGTAGGCCATAAGCGGCAATTCTTGGTAGATCAAAATGACTGGCCGCCAAATTAACATGCGCAGTGTGGTGAGTGTATAGTGCCGTATAGGATGCGTGGCCACAGCTGTGGTAGCGTCAATAGAGAACCAAAAGACGTGTGTGAACGAGAATGAGTCTGAGGAACTGTATACACGCACGAACGTACAACTGAAAGAATATCAAGACGCACGCAGACCAATACATGTATACGATTCCACTGAATACAAATATTACAATTGTGAAAGCCAGCCCGAATGTCTACAGTTACTAGTGTATAGAGATATAATAAGGCTAGTCGTCTGGCGGTTGTACGGGTATGTTGTGGCACTCCGCCCATCTTCAGCAGGCTGCAAGTCACAACGACGAAAAGTGCTAGATCACTGGCGAGGTTTGTTATACAACACTCCATGCATGCGTTGATTAATGTGTATGCACACTCACCTCTTCATGCGACTCTCACTGGCCGTCATTTGCCCACTGCTTGACATATGCAGGACATACGTCACAACGGCAATCTGATAGGCAGGAATAGGAAGGCAGAAATAATTTTGATATGAAGCTGATTTTAATAGTGACAATAATTACTGGGCTTAATCATGGGGTTATACTGCATCGATAGCCAAGGCATAGAGGCGGCTGTGTGAACTAGAAATGTTGGGTTACCATGTAGCTACGAACGCGGGGCCACGCCTGATATAGGTAGACTTACCACACACAATTGATGCGAGTGCATACTTGAGAATAGCAATTCTGAAGACGTAATTGCGGATACAATGTTTCATTATACGTGAGGATATCAGTATGAGTGGCGAGAGCCTCGCAAGGTGGATTTAAGCAACAAACGCCCAGTTATCCAGAAATTGCTCATCATGTCACAAGGTCATCATATAGCTCTGAACAGACATGCCTATTCATGTGCTCAAGTGACGATGCCTAATACAACATGAGCTCATTCGTATCCACATGCACATCTACATGTGTGTGCATGTAGTATGTCGACCTACAAATGCCTCGCATGCCTACCTGCGAGAAGATCAGTGGGATGGACCAAGACTCTCGTAGTGGCACACTCCCCCACACCCGGGTGGAGTCCAAGAAATTGCCCATTACAGCAGCCACAGCCACCAAACCACAAATGAGATTGCGTGTGATCAACGTAGCCGTCACGTAAATGCCTGGTGGGAAAGCAGGGATATGGGTCTATTGATGAAACATCTTCTCTCTGTTTGATATCATTGATTGGCTCTACTATTGGTTGATATGCACTGGCGGTGTAAACTATAGATTGCATTGAAAATGTAGCAGAGAAATGGGGGGAATCCCCCTAGTTTCCAGCTGGTTATTTCTATCATGGTTGCATCTTCTAGTGTAACACATTGAAGACAAGCAATGGTTTTCAGTTCTCGCGGGCTGAATTGTGTGTGCTATACATACCTTAAATAAGGGTTTGTATGTGTATCACACACAATCCAATGAAGAGACTTAGGTAGCACACCGAAATTAAGGCACGCATTAAATATCCCCAACTCAATACGCAATATCTCATTTGTGTGTGCACTGGTATCTACTGTCGCTGAGCTCAACGAATTACACCACACCTAAAGATTCGTATAGATTGTCATTAGTACCCCTCTCATTTTTAACTTACCCGCCATAAGGAAGAATGACCACGCAAGAACGGTATGAACGTAATAGTCGATCGGCTCTGATGTCGAGAAATAGCGGAACGAAACGCCCAGCAGGAACTCTGGCCAAACATTGAATCTCTAGGGATGCGTGTACGGACTAAATTGTTACGATAGCTTATAGTTGGTGGATTTTTGATCGAGTTATTTTCAAGGTGTAATCGGGTAGTATTCATCTATCGTCGCGATACTATTCGAGAGTCATCAACCAGATTAAGATATTCTATGAGATTTGAACTGATACACCCAAGTATGCATTCGCTGTTAAACCAGATCCTACTTTCGGAGTGACGCTAACAATGAGTCGCATGCCTGTTAAAATATACATGTATGTGTGTGCTTGGATCAGATGAAGAACACATGAATTGCACAACTTATACCAACGAATACCGCTCTAGACCTCCATAGCGTTAGGACTAACACAGCTCACATACAAGTAGACAACCAGGTATTAAACCCTTGAAGTATGGTACATATGTACTCAAAAATCCCTGACGGCACACCTCACCTTTAGTGCGTTGATGACGTTAGGACTCTCAACGGTCGCGTCATTCAGGAAATTGTAGAACACTTGTGAGATGGGCAACGAGGTGTCTGTGACATCTTTGAAGTATCGGTAGTACATGGCCTGTTCACTGTGGAAGATCACCTATAAATAGCGGGAAATGTAAAGGGTTTCGGTTAATGTGTTCATTGCTAGCAGGTAAACAGGGATAGTGCATATCAATGTATTACCGAACTGCTTCTATGACCATGTCCATATAATTTGAGAACACACAGAATGAAGGTAGCTGCAGTAAAAGGTACCATAGGACGGTTTGGGTGAAAAACAATAAGCCATTATACTACCAGGTTTTTATTCTGTCACGAAGGGTAGAAGGGTAGACATTTTGTGTATTGTCTCGCATCAAACTTGATTGCAATTCGTTAAATCTTCATATCAAAGTTCATGTTGGTGAGTTATGGGTTTCAGATTATAGCACCGATTAGACGAATTATTGCACTTCCCGGCATCTATTTCAGATTACTAAATTTATTATGCATCTTCGTTCAGTTTTAAACTGCCTCCAGCGATCTGTATACTCACAAAAAAAATCGCTTATAGATCTTACTTGAGCACATGTCCATACGTATCAAACATTTCGATAACACATGCGCAAACTTCAATTCTTAGAGCCTGTAATAGTCTATCTATTCAACTGATGAACAAAATCTTGACCTGTCACACAAACACCAATCGCACTCCTGAGCTCAATACTTTCTGACCTTGACACAAATGTTGGTAGAAATAGACATACACGGACACATACCTCTTTCCTCGCCTCATTAATTTCCGACCACCAGTATCGCTGTTCATTTACTTTAATCAGTATCGTTGCGTACACGGCGCCAACACACGCTCCGATAGCTTGGGTCAACAATAAGAAGAGCTTATTGGAAACTGCTGGCAGAGTATACAACCTGCGGATAACGCGTACGTTTCTCATTAGACTTAAAGCTCATGCGTATGCTTATCATTAATTTCTCACAATTGTTGTCGCAAGGCATCCCTGGGAGACTATATAAAATGCGTTCATGGTTCAACGCAAACCATCAACGCATTCTATATAGCAAGCTCTTTGAACTTGAAAAAAAACTCGTATTGCTGTGTTAGTCCAATCGGCACCTGATCACTATTATATATATTGTAATTGGTGTGTGACATGTGTGACACTGAGTCCATGTTATGCATGACACTGTGTTCACGTGACGTATGACCGTGAGTCATACGTGACGTGAGATGCTGAGTTTGTGTGACGTGTAAGGCTGAGTCCGCATTGGATATGAGTATGTTAGTAACTTTTAAAAGATTAGACTTAAAACTATAAAGTAGTGTAAAATATATAGGTGATGGCGACAGTAACCAGAAGGCAACGGTCGCCATCAGTACAGCCAGCAGTTAGTGTTCATAAGGAACTACCTTGTAATAGGTGCTATATGGGCGAGGGCTGGCGAATATAAATAGATACCATGAAGTGACGAGTCTTCATAGTATCTAGGAGCTAATACACTATTTTAATACTCAGTAAAAGTTACATACATTCTAGTTTGGATTTGTTAGTTTTGCACTTAGAAAGTACTCACAATATATAT